GGAGCCCATGGAGATTTTCTGTGATAATGAAGGAGCAGTTGCCTTGACCAAGGAACCAAGAGATCACGGTAGATCTCGACATATCGACAGAAAATATCACTTTATTCGACATCGGGTGGAAGAAGGACTCCTCGTAGTGAAGAGAGGGTATCGTCAGAAGATAACCCAGCAGATCCGCTTACGAAGGGACTGAATAGGGTTAAGCATTTGCAGCACGCTAGGAGCATTGGGCTAAAGGATGATATTAGTTTAGATTAGATAGTTTGGAAACGTGTGATAGATAAGTTGTTATTAACATTTGATGATTAAATAAAGGAGTATTATTTATTAGTAATGTTACTGTCTTATGTTAATCTTTTACCTATTGTTTCATTTTGCATGTTTTGACTTCCTGAATAATTAAGTTATTTGATAATAATCGAATTATTCGAACGGTCCACAGTCATTCATATGTTGGAAGTAGATATGAATGAAGATTGTCATAACTTGGTGTGTAGATTGTCTAAAGTGTATTAGACATAGCAAAGGTTTGCTACAACGTTCATGAGTGCTTATGAACTTGATTTGAGCATTGGAATAAACCCACACTTGCTGGAATCACTTCATGGAATTTATCACGAGTGATCGCAAGATGGTAATATCATATGGTCTTAAAACCTAGATATATGGTTTATTGTTTTTTAATTGGTTATGCATTGATAATGCGCAAACGCATCAGTAACTTGATGTAATTAACGCATTATTGTGTGTGATTTGATTAGTGGATAGTAGATGCATATAAGTCGAAGTTTATCTGTTCCTTTTATCCTAAGAGGGTAAAAGCGATATCAGGGCCCCTCGATGATTTGATTTGACTTATGTGTCGGGCCCGGTCAGGACTGAATTGATGTGTTCAAATAAGTTCTATGTCAAATAAATCTGAGATCGAGAAACCAATTGCAGGACAATAAGTATGACCATGTTCCATGTAAATGTCCGCACGATATCTAGAACAGAGGATTATACGATCCCTTATCTGAAGGATAGGATACTTATAAGATCAGAGTTTGACAGCGTCTTTGAGAGCTACGATTGCTAATCGGATTGTGTTTGCATCTATAGTTACTAGACTTATCCAAGTGGGAGACTGTTGGATTAGTGTCTAAGCCCGTAACTATATTTGGTAAGTACCACCACTCAAAGTCGACTATTTTCTCTTAATCTTATCTTAATTATATTTTGGTACTTGACTACGGATCATTTTCTGACCTACGAGTGTATCTCAAATTATCAAATATATGAACTAGAAACTCATCAAGTCCCTCACATAATGGGTATCGACTAAGCAGTCAACAGGTTGATCCATGGTAAATCACATCTCAAATACTCTCACTCATTTCTCAATAACTTCACAAGTCCTCAAATCACTCAAATTAATCTTATTAATATCTACGGTACTCACAAATTAATTAATCCAGTCAAAAATCTATAAATTAGTGTCTAAGCCCGTAACTATATTTGGTAAGTACTTGACCCGGTTGTGCATGGTCCTTTTGGGTTGCCTTCACTATAGCAACTTGACAGGTTGATTTATATAGACAGAAGAGATATTATTATATTAATATGTTATAAGAATAATATATTAAAGGAATAATAATATTCTTTAATTAATATTAGTCATAAATTAATTAGGAATTAATTTGGTGACTAAAAGAGGTTAATTGAATAAAGGGGCTTAAACTGTCAAATGTGTGATAGTTGTGTTTTTGGGCTATGAATCCTTATGGATATTAGGGTGGCCGAATTTTAGGGTTATGATATCTTAAATTCATCCAAGCCTCATATCTAGAAGGATCCTTGGATTGCTTAGGGCCTAAGTTATTCAATTAGGGTTAAGGATGTAACCCTAGTAGCTCATAGTATAAATAGACCCTATAGGTGAGGGAAATCGGCCACTCTTGTAAGATTGAAACCCTAGAGCCGATTTTCTCATCCCTCCTCTCTCTCCAAATCATCCTCTTGCTAGTTGGTGTTTGTAAGCCATTAGAGGAGTGACAGTTGTGACTCTAAGCTCCAAGAACAAGAAGATTCAAGCAAGCAACCTAAGGTATTCTTCTAGATCTGATTTCATGTGTTATGTTTCAATTGTTATCTCTAGATCTAGCATTGTAAGCCTTGGAAACATTGCATGTTCAATTAGAGAAACCTAGATCCAAGCATTAGGGTTTGCATGTGCACATAAGAAAGTTCTTATGGCTCAAACCCATCAATATCATCACTACAGTTTATACTCTCATACTCTCTCTATATATTCTTGGCATTTGTTTTCTTAATGCTACTCAATTTACATATGCATTTATTCTTGGTCGTATTCTATTTACGCACCGTGTCGTGGAAAATTTATCGTCACACCGTGGTCTATCGTTATAAATAATCATATAGTAATTTACTTTCAGTCCATGCCATGGACAACTCTCGTCGCGCCGCGGTAGCTCTAAGTACGTTACCTTATTTACTCGTTCTTCATAACCGCACTGTGTTTATGCTCCAACCACGTCATGTTCTATACATTTTAAGTATAACATCCTAATTTAAGGCCGCATAGCGGATACTCCATGTCCACTCTGTGGTTAGTAAAGTACATTGTTATTTATCGATTTAACTGCATTGTGTATCTCAGATCACTGCGCCGCATAGCATTAGTCGTTGTGCTACGTATCCCTCTGTGGATCTTGTAATCATGCTCTACAATCTTTCTCTACAATTCTCCATGATATATATATATATATATATATATATATATATATATATATATATATATATATATATATATATATATATCAAGGTTGTAAAAGTCGCTAGGCGGTGGTCGGGTGGTCGACTGGGGTTAAGGGACTAATCGGTCGAGGCAGTGATTAATCGGCGCCTAGGCAAAGGCCCTTAATTGTAATTGAATTTCTTTTTTAAAAAGGGAAATTGTCAGAAAAGTCCCAATATTTACGGAAAAGTTACACTTTAGTCCCAAGATTTTTTTTTTGAACAAAAAAGTCATGAAAACCGGCAAAAATTTACAGTTTGACCCTTTTTAACCGGTTGAAACCGATACCAAATTAATTTGGGACTATTTCCTAAACTAACCCAAAATATTGAGACTATTCTGTAAACAAAAAATATTATGACTTTTCTGTAAACAAAAATATTATGACTTTTTTGCAAACAAAACCTTTATTATTATTATTATTATTATTATTATTATTATTAAAAATATAAATAAGAATACTATTTTTTGAACTTGTATTATTAATATTGTTAATAAAACATATAAATGCATTTAAATAAAAAAAATAATGACTGTTTAAGGGTGGAGGTGGATAGATGGTGATGCTTTTAGCATTGAAATCATGAATTTCTGTTTGTATATTTTTACTTTGTATATGGTCATTTCACATTTGTTATTATTATTTTCAATTCAGAATATTAATACTTAACAATTTAAAAGAAATTGCATATTTGTAAAATTGTTTATAAATAGTTTAAGGTAGAAGGATTTCTCAGTTTGTATACAAAAATTGTTAAAGGTAGAATGATTACTTTCCAAATCCAACAGATCCACTACAAATATCTACATAGATAGGTAGCCCATATCAAAATTCAAAAGTATTAATTACAATATCTTGTTTAATAAAAAGTAATAGGACATGTTTTTTGGATTAATACTTTTGAATTTTGATTAATACTTTTGAATTATTCCTCCTATACTTTTATTAAACAAGATATTGTAGTTAATACTTTTGAATTTTGATATGGGCTACCTATGTAGATGTTTGTAGTGGATCTGTTGGATTTGTAAAGTAATCATTCTACCTTAAACAATTTTATATACAAAGTGAGAAATCTTTCTACCTTAAACTATTTATAAACAATTTTACAAATATGCAATTTTTTTAAATTGTTAAGTATTAATATTCTGAATTGAAAACAATAATAACAAATTTTGAAATGACCATATACAAAGTAAAAAATATACAAGCAGAAATTCATGATTTCAATGCTAAAAGCATCACCATCTCCTGCACCTCCACCCTTCAATAATGTCATTATTTTTTCATTTAAATGCATTTATATGTTTTATTTAAAATATTAATAATTAATACATGTTCAAAAAATAGTATTCTTATTTATATTTTTAATAATAATAATAATAATAATAATAATAATAAGGGTTTTGTTTGTAGAAAAGAAAAGTCATAATATTTTTGTTTACAAAAAAGTCCTAATATTTTTGTTTACAGAAAAGACCCAATATTTTGGGTTAGTTTAGGAAATAGTCCCAAATTAATTTGGTATCGGTTTCAACCGGTCAAAAATGGTTAAACTGCAATTTTTTGCCGGTTTTCAAGACTTTTTTGTTCAAAACAAAAATCTTGGGACAAAAGTGTAACTTTCTGTAAATATTAGGACTTTTCTGAGATTTCCCTAAAGAAAAAACTAACTGTATAAAAACAAAAGTATTATAAGGATTATAAGCGGCTAACCCTATTAAATACCAAATAAAATAGAAATAAAACTAAACTATACCCGGATATCATAAGGTACCATGAGGCATGACCCTATTAAATACCAAATGGCTAAATTTCATAAACTATACCCGGATATCATAAGGTACCATGAGGCATGACACCTCATTGGCTAATTTTCATTATCCAACCCATAGTCCCATACCATTTATGATTATTTTATTTCATCCAACCAATTAAATCTTTTGACAAATAATAATAATAATAATAATAATAATAATAATAATAAATCTAAAAGCGATTACCAACTATCCTAACAACCCCTCAAACCCGTTGCTAAAAAACTGTTTTCATGACTTCAATACGATGAAAAAGCAATAACTCATTTCAAAAGTACACAACAAGAAATCTATATATTGCCAAAAAGTCAAGGAAACGTGCTCTCCAATCTCCATTTACACACACATATAAATACATCTTCATTAAAACAAGATTTTGATAAATATGGATAAACAAACATCAATAGAAAGCCAAGGTAGCGTTCATGTCCCAATCAACATTTTCGAACCACAAAGCAGCATCGAAACATCAACCAGCAATGAGAATACATCATCATCGGTTTCAGGAAGAAGACAAGCGAACCGAGCACCTGAGAAGAAGCTGACTCTCTTTGCCCTCCGGCTAGCGGTTCTGGAGAAAGCAGCCACCGGGCTAGGAACCCTCGGATTCATCTGGGCCACCGTGGTTTTACTAGGTGGATTCGCCATCACTATAGATCAAACAGATTTCTGGTTCATTACTATAATTCTGTTGATAGAAGGCACCCGGATTTTTAGCCGGAGCCACGAGCTTGAATGGCAGCACCAAGCAACTTGGTCGCTCACCGATGCCGGAATCAGTAGTTTCCGGGCAGTCAAGTCTAGATCGCATATAGTCATCAGAACTTGTAAGGCGGTGTTCGGTTATAATGGTGGTAGCAGAGAGGTTAAAGAGAGTGCTTCACATCTGCGAAAGGTAAAAGGTAGATACTTGGAGAAGAAGAAGACGTTGAATCGGACATGGACAAGTTCAGATGTTCCTCTTCTTCCATATGGTCAATGGGTGTTCTTATCAAGAAATATCAGTCGTCTTCTTTATTGGCTTCAGTTAGCATCAGCAACAGCTTGTGTGGTGTTGTCGTTGATAAAGCTAGTGAAGCAAAACTTTGGAGAAATTGAGAAAGGAGATACTGATAAGAGAAACAGGAAATCGGCTTTGATTATATTTTATTCATTAGCGTTAGCTGAAGCGATGTTGTTTCTTTTAGAGAAAGCTTATTGGGAATGGAAGGTGATTATCAAGAAACTGTTGGATAAGATAAACGATGAGTGTGAGTTGGGACCAACGGGGATGGTTTCTGTTCGGAGGTTTTTCTATGATGCATACTCGAAATGCGTTAATGGAAGCATCTTCGATGGGTTGAAGATGGATTTGGTTTCATTCTCGATGGAGCTTTTGGACTCGGATTCCTCCGATGAGCAGCTGATCGGAGTCAGAATCTTGAAAAACTTCACGAAAAATCAGCGGTTTTCAGAAGATACACTTCAGAAAATCGGAATCACGATTACTGTGATAGAACGGTTGGTTGAAATGCTAAACTGGAAAGACCCACAGGAGGAGGAGATTAGGAAATCAGCGGCGGAGATACTGGCGAAACTCGCCGGAAAAAAACAAAACTCCCTTCGTGTTGCCGGGATTCCAGGCGCCATGGAGTCGATTTCTTGTCTGTTGAACACCCATAGAAACCATAGCGCCACCGCATGCGGTGAAATCCCGAGAAAAGAGATAATTTCCGACAAAGAAAACTACGGGTACTGGGAATTCAATCAATTGGGTCTTCAAATCTTGAAGAAACTCGCTCATGATCATAACAACTGTGGAAAGATCGGGAACACGAAGGGTCTTCTAGCGAAAATCATAGATTTCACCCACGCCGGAGAGAGATTATTAACGGATACCCGGGTCACAGAATCTCAGATTCTTACAGTGAAAAGATCTTTACAGGTGGTGAAGATGCTCGTGAGCACCACCGGTGGCACCGGTAGACAGCTCCGATCAGAGATATCGGAGGTGGTTTTCACGATCACTTACATAAGAGATATATTAAAGTATGGTGAAAAACACCCGATGTTACAGAAACTTGGGATCGAGATTTTGACAAGTTTGGCATTGGAAAACGATGCAACGGAGAGAATAGGGGCTACCGGAGGTGTTTTGAAGGAGTTGTTTAACATTTTCTTTAGAGAAGGGTTGCCGGAAAACCAGAATCATGTGAGAATAGCCGCCGGAGAAGCAATTGGGATGCTGGCATTTGAAAGCGCCACCAATTCTCATCGTATTTTGAAGTTGAAAGTGAGTGAGAAGCTTGTTGATGCTTTGGATAATCCGTTGCTTCGTATAAATGCGGCGATAATTTTAAGGAATTTATGCATTTACAGTGGACCAGGGTTCTTTCAACAGCTACGAGGCATAACCATGGCTGCACCTACTGTAAGTTTACTTCCAAATTCTATTTGTTCCTGCTATATATTGCATACAAGAAGTCTTTAAAAAGAAATAGAGCATATTTAAAACAAAATATGAACTTTAAAAAGAAATAGAACATATTTAAAACAAAATATTTGTCATAAAACCTTATTATTGCATTTATTTAAAGATTAAAAATGTTTTTTATTCAAATTCATATCCGTTAAACTACAAAGTTGATATCTCATTCAACTATATATATTATGGATGTTCTAAATGTTAAAATGTTATTGATTAGTTATTATTATTAATATTAAAAAAAAAGTAAAAATGGTTTGTTATATTTAATGAAAAAGAGTTAGAATGATACATCATATATATAATAACAATGATACTTGTATTGAATATCATTATTATCTATTTTATTTTTTTTACTTTATCACGATACTAAGATTAAAATTGGTTAAATAAATATTTAAAAGTGGACAATTTTTTTAAACGGCAAATTAATTTACTCCTAATTATCATTTATGTCTTAAGAGATCTTTAAACCAACGAATTGAAAGGGTAGGAGATATGTTTCTAAACGAAAAGCTTTTAGCCATGCTATCCCAAAAGCCCGAGGTGAAATTAGAGATGAAAATCTGATACATATATTTACAAGAAGCAAATATTACAACTCTTGAAACTAAACTATTGAATATATATATATATATATATATATATTATATATATATATATATATATATATATATATATATATCATAACATTAAATCATCATAACATTAAGATACAAATGTTTATGTATTGGTAACATGACATGACATGATAGTGACAGATTTAGTTTTTTAGACTTGAAGTAACAAACATTGTATCGGTCTGCTTTACAGGTGCTCAGAGAAATCATGACACAAGAAAACAAGTTGCAGGAAGTGATGGTGGGACTAGCAGCACATGCCTTCGGATATATGACATCAAATGAAGCTAATGTCGTGTTCAAGAAAGCCGGGATACAAGAGTATGATTTAGCAATGGCACTCGTGCAAATTTTGAAGAAAAATCCACAACCACAAACCAAGATTCCAAGAATAAGGAGATATGTAGTCGAGTTGGCAACTTGGATGATGAAAAATAACAATAAAAATATCGATATTTTCAAGCATCTTGGGATGGAAAAAGAGTTTGAAGGTATTTTAGAGACCACATCAGAAGTAGAAAGTTTTAATATTTTCTCTGGGGCGATTGGATTGAGTCGTTACAAAACGTCTATTCATTCACTAGTTGAGATAGCAATGGACTTGTTGAGAGATGAGTAACTAAAAAGTAAAAACTACAAGTACTTCATTTATATAATTTATACAATGTTAAAAAAAAGTGGAAGTTCGTTAGAAATGTACATATTGCTGAATATTTATAAAAGAAAAACACATTTTTATTAATGGAAACGATATCATAAGATATTTTTTATATTTTTATCTTTTAGTTGCTTTATCTTTTCCTTTTATTTACCATCTTTATCATCTTGTACTCCCTTATAATCCCTCTCATAGTTTGTGCTTGGGTATGAAGTAATAAGAAAAATTCAATCTATGATTACTATCGATTTCTAGATGGTATCAGTTGTTTAACACCCTAAGATTCAACCTCACATCACATCTCTACTGATGGTAGGAGACGACGATTCCAACAAATCCAAAACCGCAGAGTCCTCCAGCGGAACAATCAATCATGGCTCACCCTACTATATTCATCCATCTGATTACCCTAAATAACTACGCGTCATTGACGTACTTACTGACAACAATTATTCGGATTGGATCACAAGAGATGGATAATTTTCTCTTTTTCAAAAAGAACTTTGAGTTTGTTGACGGTACCATTAAGAAACTAGAAAAAGGGATTCGTCAACTACATGCCCTGGATGCGATGTGACGCAATGATAAAAGGATGGCTTATCACCGCCATGGAGAAGAACATTTGAAATAGTGTTAAATATGCAAGCACCGTGTCAGCGATATGGATGGAACTTCTCAAGAGGTTTGGCAAAGAAAGTGCTCCTCGTGCATATGAATTGAAACAAAAGATTACTAGCAACAGACAAGACGGTGCATCTGTATCAACCTATTACACCAATATTCGATCGTTGTGGGATGAAACTCAGTCAATTCAACCCCTTCCTCGTTGTGAATATGACAAATGTGATTGTGATATTAACACGAAGATGATGTAATACCAAGAAAAGGAACAGTTGCACGAGTTCCTTATAGGCTTGGATGTTGAGTTTACTGTGATCAAAACTCAGATTTTGGTAACAAAACCAACACCTTCCTTGGCCTACCATATGGTCGTGCAAGATGAGAGGCGAATGGCTATTTCCAATGACAATAGAGCACCACTCGAAGCATTTACGTTCAAGACTTCATAGAGGTGTGATTACAACGCCGCCAACCAAACAAAAGAAAGAAGCTATTCAAATAATGTGAAAGATGGAAAAGAAAATGAGGATTGTACATTTTGCAGGAGGAATGGTCACAAACATGAAGGATGCTTCAAGCTTTTTGGGTATCCCGAATGGTGGCCCGAAAAGAAGGGAGAAAAGATCAAACCGAAGGTAGCGTACACCGAATCTGACTCAAGTCCCATACAAGGCTTAACTAATGAACAATATAAGTTGTGTGTTAAGCACTTCTCTAGAACAGGTGACAATGAAGGAACAGGACGCATCGCCAACATGGTAGGTAAAAGAGGAGTGGAAGGAAAACTGATTGTTAACTGGGGTTGCACTAGATATATAACTCATTCTCCAAACATCCTCATGAACAATCAAAATTTTTCATGTGAACCACCGGCTGTCATACCAAATGGAGATGACATTCCTGTGAGGGGTAGGAGCGATTGCACACTCCCAAGGGGACTTAAAGTAAATGGAGTTCTTTGTGTTCCTGATTTTAAATGCAATCTTCTTTATGTTAGCCGCTTAAGCAAAGATCTTCAATGTGATGTAACTTTCTTTCCTGATTTTTGTGTAATGCAGGGGTTACTGACGAGGAACTTGATTGGAGCGGGTGGATGCGAAGGGGGGATTGTATCGAATGAGGATGTTGGAAGAAAGAAGAGCGATGATGACTACTGTGGATATTTGGCACAAAAGACCGTGACATGCATCAAAAGGAAAGATTTCTAGAGTTAATTTTTTTTTAAAAGTAATTATATTGAACTTATTAATAAAACTTGTGATTCTTGTGCAAAGGCAAAACTTCCCGAATACCTTTTCCTATTAGTGTGATTAAAAGTAAAGCAAATTTTGATTTAATACATTGTGACATTTTGGGTGGATATCGTGTGCCATCTTTCACAAAAGCTAGTTATTTTCTCACCATTGTTGATGATAATAGTAGGGTTGTATATGTTTTTCTCATCAAACATAAAAACGATGCTAGTAAATATCTTGTTAACTTTCACAAAATGGTTGAAGTTAAATTTGGAAAACAAATCAAGAAGGTTAGGTGGAACAATGGCGGAGAATTTACATCTAATGCCAAGATCGACTTTTACAACCATAATGGAATCTTGTTAGAAACAACTTGCCCACACACACCACAACAAAATGACATTGTTAAAAAAAAGCATCGTCATTTATTGGAAACAGCCCGAGCTCTTAAATTTGAAGCAAAGCTACCAAAAAGGTTTTGGGGAGAATGTATTCTCACCGCTACGTATATAATAAATCGTATCCCCTCCAAGGTAATTGAAAACAAGGCTCCTTATGAGATTGTTTGGAATCAAGAACCTAAACATAGTCATATGAGGATTTTTGGTTGTCTTGTTTACTTCAAAAATATGATTTTAAAGGAGATAAGTTTGAAGAAAAGGGAAAACCAGGTGTATTTTTGGGTTGTCCCGCAGGAACCAAATGATACAAAGTCTATGACATTCAAGACAAAAGAATCACAGTAAGTAGAGATGTTTTGTTTTGTGAAGATAGATTCCCTTTCAAAAACATCAAAACCAATGAGAATTATGAAGATGAAGATCACATAAAACTTCATGGTAGCATTTTTCATGAAGATCATGAACCAGCTCAGACAGTTGAACCTACACATGATGAAAACCAACAAAACCACAATGACAATGATACCCTCACTGGTGATCATGTTCAAAACGAGTCAGACTCTACAACACATGGTGAGGAAGAACCCAATACAATGGAATCTGATTGTCATGATAACTAAGGTAATTTCAAGCAAGATAATGAACTTCGGTATCAAGTCGAGATCAAAAATAAGAGACAAAGATCGTAACCGAAGCTCTTTGATGATTATGTCATCAAACTTCCCCATTCGATCAATCACAAGCAACTTATCTCCGATCAAGAAGCCTCGACGGTACACCCTATGTCCAACGTTATTTCATATGAAAAATTCTCTAATAATCCAAAAGTTTTTTTAACAGCCAACGTTTCCGATGTTGAGCCGGACATTTTTAAGCAGACATCTCAAAATAAACATTGGCGTAGAGCCATGCAACAAGAAATCAAAGCGTTTGAAAGGAACGAAATTAGACCTTGACAAATTTGCCCAAAGGGAAGCATGTTATCGACTGTAAATGGGTTTATAAAATAATATATAAACCCAATGAAGATGTGGAACGATACAAGGCCCGACTAGTTGGAAAGGGGTTCACTCAAATAGAAGGTGTTGATTATCACGATACTTTTGCACCAGTTGCAAAGTTAGTGGTTGTGCGAACTCTCTTGGCTGTTGCTACAAAGAAGAACTCGACCATTCAACAACTTGATGTAAATAACGCCTTCTTCATGGCGATATAGATGAAGAAGTGTACATGAAAATCCATCAAGGTTACAAAAATCTCTCTATCGATTAGAGCAAGCTTCTCGAAACTGGTATCACAAGTTCGCCGCCTTTCTTGTAAGCTTAATTTTTCATCCTTCCAAAGCCGATCACTCCTTGTTTATATACGGGAAAGAAGAGTCCTTTATCGTAATTTTAATCTATGTAGATGATGTCATTATAGTTGGAAATGATTTTGCACGACTTTAAGATATCAAAACTCAGCTTGATGACGCATTCAGCGTCAAAAGATCTTGATCTTATAAAGTACTTTCTTGGCATTGAAGTTGCGAAGACTGATGATGGGTTGGTTCTAAGTAAAAGAAAATACATCCTTTATATTCTTGAGTGTGACATCCCCAAATTCACGGCCAGAAAAGACCGATTTGTTTATGCTTTATTTGAAAATCAGAGTATATTTTTAAAGAAATATGTTGCGGAATTTGTTCCCTGAAAAACATGATAAATATATTATCAAAGCATTTCCGAAGAAATGTATTTTGTGTATATTAAAACTTTGGAATGTCATCGTCAATATAGAAACATAATCATGAATAGACCTTACGTTCATTTACACTAGTGATCTACATCTTTAATGTCTCAGTGTAATGTGGCTTCGTATCGACACCTGTGATACAAATAAACTGAGTGGTTCAGGTTGGGAAACCTGGTGAGTACATAGGGTTTTCAACCCACAATAATATAATTATTATGTTTAATCATCAAACAATCAACCCAATTACTCATCCCCATTATCTTCTTTATTCTTAAGGATCTACCCTAAGAATCAGTTATCTTTCATTCATTCATTCCTAAGGAATAAGCACGAAGTCCATTGTTGCATATGGCACAGCTGCCAACGTTATCTATTAGGCACCACTGTCAATATTATAATTTAGGCACAACTGTCAGGATTATGACATTCTCTATTAGGCACAACTGCCAATATTATCCTTTAGGCGCAACTGCCAAGATTTTTAGAGTACATCTAGTGAACACGTAGTTCAAAAACATCTACAGGTTGTGGCACAGCTGCCAATGTTCATCTACAGGTCATTAAGTCCATAACTGCCAATGTTCATCTATATCATCTTTCATCTCTCATCATTCATCTACCCATCTTTACCCAATATTTTATAGGTATAAAATACATATACAGTTTAAAACAAATAAAACATGTATAAATCGTTTATCTAGCATAGATATCAGGACAGGAACACAGATAATAAACACATATAGAACGTATTATTATTAAATACTTCATATCTATGTGTAAGATGAAAGTAACTATGCACTCACCTGACTAGTTAGTGGTTACTAACTATTTTCGTAATCGTCATTATATCACACTTTCTTTATTTATGACTCCTTGCTCGAAAGTTCTGAACTCTAATTCAATATTTCTGGCCCTTCTTTATATTGTTTATATCTTTGGTTATTATCGTTTTCTATTGTAAAAATTTCTCAAAGGATACCTCTATTTATATCAAGGATTTTGAATCGCTCGTACAATATCAAAAGATTAGTCATCCACAAAAAAATTACATGTATAACTTCAATTAATTAGATGTGTACGAACATACTTCAAAGGTTAACACGTATTATTCTTATCTTGTCTCTAAATTAGAAGGTGTACTATTACTTCTCTTTTATCAACACGTATCATAAATTCGGACACGTATGTACGATTATAATTATCTTAGTCATCTTGTAAAACTAACACGTATACCTTTTTATTGTACGATCACATATTTAAACAACACGTGTTATTTTAATTAATAAAATATGTACGAACTTTCTTATATTTCTTACATCGTATGTTGGTTTGCAATTCACAATTCAGTTATAGTTACATTTATGGTCTCTCAGTTATTCTTGTATTAACACAATATATCCTTGAAATTACACTATAGTCCATTAACTATTTATTAATAAAATCAATATACCCTTTATAATAAAATCTTATCTAAATCATTTAATTCGTTATTATCCATATTATTTAATTCTATCGTATCCACAATCTTATCTACATTATTTAATTCGATCTTATCTACATTATTTAATTCGATAACTAACTTCGTAAAAAGTACCCGGTCAATTATTATCCAAAAACGGAAAAATTATCGTTTCACTACTTGGGTTCACCCTTAAATGTATTTAGATCAAATACGTCTTATACAGTTTGAGATTTTACAATCGTTACAATTTTCTTTAAGATTATTTATCCTAAATAATCTTCTATAAAAAAATGTTATTTTATCACTTTTCGATAAGTTTATAACAAGATTTATACAAATATTACATATCCATAATATTTGTCCACATAACACGTATATAATAAATAAGTATTTATATAACCTGTAACGCATACGCATACGAAAAAAATTTATCTTATTTGAGGATTTTAATTTATTTATAAAACAAATATTTATTATTATTCCCTTAACGTTTACATTGAGGATAGTGGAATGATGGGATGCAAGCCAAGTTCTTTCCCATTGAGCAAAACTTACACCTTGACAAAGGAGAAAATGAAGCCCAAGTTGATGCTGGCCAATGTCGTCGACTCATTGGATGTTTACTTTATCTCCAAGCCACTCGCCCCGATATTACTTATGTTATCAATATTTTAAGTCAGTTTGTCGTTGACCCAAGAGGTAATCATATGGAAGCTGCCATTCGCGTCTTGAGATACTTAAAGGGTACACTAAGACAAGGAATTCTACTTCCTCGAGCCACAGATCCGATTCTTACTTCTTTTTGCGACTCAGACTGGCTTGGATGTTCTTATACGAGACACTCGAGGACGGGTTACTTGCTTATGCTTGGAGGTGTTCCCATTTCTTGGAAAACAAAGAAGCAATCAGTTGTCTCCCGATCATTTGCATAACTTGAATATAGAGTTATGGCTTCTATTGTTAGCAAAATATTATGGGTTTACACTCCAACTCCTCTATTCCTCTATTCTATGATAACCATGCTGCTTGACACATTGCCAATAACCCAATGTTCCATGAAAGGACAAAAACATGTTGAGATGGACTGTTTCTTTGTTCGTGAAAGAGTTGAGTCCAAAGAGATTCTACATATGCCCATTGACAGCAAGCTGCAGATTGCAGATGTACTCGCAAAAGGTTTTGGCACACCTCGACTTCAGTTCCTTCTTGGCAAGATGGGCATTATGAATCTCCATGCTCCATCTTGAGGGGGAGTATTGGAAACGATATCATAAGATATCTTTTATATTTTTATATTTTATTTGCTTTATTTTTTCCTTTTATTTAGCCTGGCTGTTTACCATCTTTATAATCTTATACTCCTTTATAATCCCTCTCATGTTTTATGCTTGGGTATGAAGTAATAAGAAAAATTCAATCTATGATTACTATCGAGTTCTAGATTTATTGCTAAAGATAATTAAATAGTTAGTGTTTTTAGGTTTCTTAGAATTGTACATAAATTTATTAAAACTATATACATCACACAATTGCACATACCAAGCCTAGCTGTATTGTTACAAATTTTTACAGTTAACAGCTAATTTACTTGCCAAATAACATCAATTTACCCACCAACAATCTTCCTTAAGAAGGTAATTACTTTTAGTGAACAACGATCATTACTAAATAGATCTTTTTGGTATGAAGTCACCTTTGATCATTATACTAATTAGCTTCGTATTTATTTAGAGTCTGGACACCATTATTAGTCTCATTTTCCTGTTCAATGTACGTCAAAAACAGTACAACCTATTATGTTATATCCTGTAAGATCAAGAAATTAGATGCAAGAAACACAAACGATATTTTGTTTCCATACAATCATAAAATAACCAAAGTTAACACCTAATATACAATATGTATGAAATCAAAAGCCACAAAATCAATCAATAATAACATATGATTATCTGGTTTTGAAAAAATTTAAATCCCAACGACGTAAGAAACTGTCCATTATGCTAATAGACGGACTTTTCACAACTGTCACTGTGGCTTTTATCCCATCAGCCATGTCATCAGCTGAGCTGGCAGTGGTAGTACCAGCAGAAGTTCTACTAGTACATCCAGAATCTTCCACAGACACAGTTGTATTTGATGGCGATGACGTGGCATTGCACCGAGACTTGGCCTCAGAAGGTGACTCATCACTTCTACAAGCCATTGGGTCTATAGGCTGTTGATCACCTAAAGGCGTTGCATCTTGGTTTAAAGAAAGTAGTACAGCTTCCATGAGCATCTAAAATTTTTAGCAAGATGAAACCAATATATGGTTAGAATTTGTAAAATGCATATACACATAGGACAAAACATGACAAGACATGACATCTCAATACTGTGTTTGGTCTGCATTGTACTGATAAAAGATCTGACATTCAGGACAAG